AGATCTGCCCTTGTTCCTTCACAATTTCTTTCTACTGCCCATTAAACCTCTCTCTCTCTCTAACCAAATTCATCCTTCAAGATCCAACCAGCCCTTTGTACCGCGAGTACGACATTATGATCACAAACAAGATTACACAAAATGTCCCAGTGAGGCCCACGACCTGAAACCATAAGAAAAAACCATAACCAATTCATCTTCAAGACCTTCATTTCTTAGTAGTAATGGGAATTGAATTATCTGGTTTAGTACATATTTGAATATGTATCCATGGCCCTCGTTCCATGGGTATGGAATGTTCATCCCGAAAATTCCCGCGACAAGAGATAGCATTGATAAGCAAACCGTTCCAGAGCTTAAGACGAGCTCCAGCTGCAGGGTTTTGAAGATGATCAAGAAGAGAATATCGAGAACATGATGATAACAAAAGAAAGCTTCAGCTTCAAGATTCACTTACCTGAATCAGCTGATTACGATGATTGTCTAGCTGCGAAACCAAATAGGTTTTAGATTAGGATATTCTGAGATTCAGATTTCAAGAAAAAAATGTTGAGGTTTCATTTTTGGTTACCTGGATGTTAATGTAATCCTCAGTGTCATCAATGTACTCACGCAGCTGCATAAAAAATTACGAGTTGGAAGAAGAGTTTTTAAGAATCAAAAAGTTGCGGCAAAGAATGGAAAAGAGTAGATGCAAGAAGATTACCGTTGTTAATCTGTTTAAAGTGCTATCAATTTGCATGAAGTATGCCTGTAAAGATTTTGAAACATCTGCTTTTAGACTTCACATGTGAATTGAAGATAGAGAGATAAAATAGAACTTTCTCGCAGTAACAACCAACCTCGAGCAACATTTCAAGTTCTTCAACATCATTTTCATCCCCACGAACCGTGGCTAAACTCGCTCTACTCGCTCTTGAAATCTTAGAACCTATTGTTGGGGAAGTAAGATACCAATTCGATTCACCGGGACTACTGACCGGCGTGGAAGCAATAAAAAGTTTCCTTGAAAGGTAAAGATCCGCCATATCGTCGTCATCATCTAGCAGTTGTTCGAGCTCCTCTCTTACCTACAAATGGTGATGGATGAAGCTTCTTACTATAGAAATTTTAACTCGCAACAAACACTCATTAAAAAGAAATGCATGCTAACCTTCTGAACCCGACCTGTCAACCGAGTCATCAAACTCTTCAATTTCCGTACTCTATCTAAATTACGGCTACCAATCTGCCAAAATGTGAATGTAAGAAAATGCAGCTGAAATTGGATCACTGGTGATAATATAATAAACGATGGTGTATTTACCTTTGAGGTAAGCTCATCCAAAGCAGGATAAGCAGATGTTTCTAACTCTGTTGTCCTTGCAGCTAAGAAGCTACAGATTGCTTCCAAAGCAACTTCCAGCGCCCGGAATTCAAATGGGGACTCTGTATTGAAACAAGCAGAAACTTGAGTAAAACACAAAGCAAAACGAGATAATGGTTCTAATATAGTCTGTGGGGGTTAGTACCATCTTCTTCACCAGCGTCACCGTCATTCTGTGCAGCTGAGGTCTCTTTTCCTTCTCCTTGACCAACAGGTATGCGTCTTTGAAGCTCCTTAACAACGGGAATAACATTTTCATCTGTTGGATCCCGAAGCAAAACCTGTAGTAAGTGAAGTCATTAGTACAGAAGAGAGAATTTTTAAGAAATCTTATTCATGGAAAGCTAAACCCTAATTCTCTAAGCATTCCATAGTCCTAAATATATCACAAGAACTGGATAAGATTGTGAAATTCTTCATCACATTCAAAACAAAACTGAAATTAGCCAACTTGCCAGCGTTTGCTCAACAAAGTTTACCCAAACAAATCAAAATCCTAGAAATCAAAGAGAAAACAAACCTGTTCTGAAGTAATAATCGCCTTGATATGCTGCATCAATCCACCACAAAAGTTTAATCACACAGTGAAAACAAAAACCCAGAAACAACGAATCAACTGAAGAAGAAGAAAACCCAACAATCCCCAACCTCCAAATTGAGCACAATAGCTCTCTCTCTGCCAAGAATAGTAGAAGGGTAAGATAGATTCGGGTCTAGAAGCCGGAGATCTCGAGCAGGGATCCTGAGGTCTTTCATGATATTATTTCTATCGAAATCAAACGCCGAACTCTCTCCCTCCTCGTCTATAGCTACCCAATTCCGAGACGATTGAGGCGTCTTCTTCTTCACCGTCACAACCGCCGATTGATCCGCCGGAACCACGTACCCGTTTTGCGCCATCTCTAAACAAAACAAATTCCTTCACCGACCAATTTCAGTACAAGGCATGAAACACGAAAACCCTTTGCGAATTCTTCACCTAATTCGAAAAAACTAAGAGAAGAATCCAACCTTTTAGCTCAAGTGTTCATGCGAATTCGACGGAGAAAACAATACCCTAACGAATTCAGAAAAGTGGAATCTTTTTTCATCAAAAGATTTCGCCAAATCTTTCTCGTTTCGAGATTTTTAAAGCTTCTTTTGAACACACAAAAAGAGTTACAGTTTCATAAAAAGGTGGGGATTATATATTGTGTTTAGATTCTGAAACTGTTTTTCGAATCAAAACCGGAGATAACCGAAATAAACCGGTGATGATACTCCTAATTTCCGGTAAATCTTTGCATTTTAGGATAAAAACCAACCGACTAAAATTTGTACCTAACCCCAAGATATCCGGTTTTTTTTTTTTTTTCTAAAGTAACTAGGGGCGGAACGGATCTGGATATTCTTAATTTCAAAGTATCTAGATTCGGATCCGGAATCATCGGATCCGTGAAAAAAACTATCCGGACCGGAATCAGGACTTCCGGATATCTGGACTCTGGATATCCGACAAAAAAAACGGATATCCGGATCCGAAATTAATATTAAAAATAATTAAAATAATTAATAAATAAATAAAAATATATTTTTAAAAATTATTAATCAATATTTTAAATGATATTTTTTATTATAAAAATAATTTATTAAACTAAAATCAATTTTTATATATATTTATTTATATAAAATTAGCTTAATAGATATATAATATATATGTTTTTAATATATTTAATGTGTTCGGATCCGGATCCAGATATCCGGACATTAAAATTTTGTTATCCGGATCCTCTTTTCACGGATCCTAGATTTTATTATCCTTATCCGGATCCGGGCTCCCCGGATATCCTAATTTTCGGAGCAATTCCGAACGAATAACGGATCGGTTCTTGGATCCCGGATAATAATTCCACCCCTAAAGGTAACGCTATAAATTATTATGAGAAATTTCAAAAAATGCCACTTTTCAAGTTACACTTTACAAAAATGCCACACTTTTGAAATATTTACAAAAATACCACTTTTTCAAAATTATTTTTTTTCTTTATATTATTTATGTTTGGATTAGTATGTTCTATTAAAATTTAGTTTTGAGTGTTTAGAAGATTTTAGGTGTCAAAACATTTTTAGAGTTTAGAATTTTAAGATATATGCTTTATAAATCTATAATTAATGGCATTTTTATAAATGGACACCTCTAAATAGTATTTTTGCAAATATACACATAAAAAATAGTATTTTTGTAATTGTCTCATAAATTATTTAAATAAATCAAAACAATTGATTCCAATCGATAAATACATGGGTTGCATAATTAGCTACAAATAACTTCTTTTTAAAAAAAATTACATAAAATTATCTTAGATACAATATATATTAAAAATGATTTGTAGTCATCCGAAATATTTAAACTACCTTAAATTGTGATTTGACTACTCGTTTTTGTTTCGAATGGTAAGATTATAAAAATATTTACTCTAATCGATAAATACATGAATTGAATAATTATCTTAAAATCACTTCGTCCTTTTTTTTTAAATTACATAAAATTATCTTATAACACAAATATATTTAAAATGATTTGTGATCATCCGAAATATTCCAACTACGTTAAATTGTGATTTTTAATACTCTTTTTTTCAAACTAGATTTCTTCAAATGGTAAGATTAAGAAATAAAACAACAATTTGAAAAACAAGAGATTCACAATTTCAATTTTTATTCCTTTTTTCTTCTCCAACTTGCATAAGCTTAAGCATTTTTTGAATATTTATAATTTTTTTCTTTTCAAATTTAAAAAAAAAAAAATTAGAATCCATAGAATCAGATCCTAATGCTTAAGGAATGTTTCAAATCGCCCACATGGAGAAGATGCTCTCCCAACGCAATCTTCCTCTTCCCCATCTCATCAACAACGCTCAGATCTTTACAGATCTCAACCTTAAACCTAACCACCGCTTCTTCCATCTTCCCCAAACGAATCTTCTCAAACCCTAATAAATGCTTCCTCGGCGATCCGTGAACTTCCGGCGGCGTCGTGAATAGAAACACCGTGTGAATCCCTTCTCTATCTCCTACGTTTCGTACCTTAATCTGAACCTCAAACGACGATCCACCTTCGCCGGAGACACAGTGAGGTCCGATCGCGTCCAGCGATTGACATTCCGATGATCGGCAAGCGTGATTTTCTTCGAGACGGAGAGAAACGAACCGTGGAGCTTTGATTAAGCTGTGACTGCATTTTGTGTAGCTGAGTCCGTCTCCGAAGGCGTAAACGGTTTCTCCGGTGTAGAATCGGTAAGTCCGACCCGGATACCCGTTTGATTTATCGGGTCTCATGTTCATATTCGTCATCGGAACTTTCTCTACATACGACTGCGGATACCAAGTCATCGGTAATCTTCCACCTACAAAGTCAAAATTCACCGGTTATTGAGTCCGGTTATCACCGGTTTAAGCTATTGAAATTGCAATTACTAAATAAGAGTCTTACTTGGATTATAACGGCCAAAGATAACGTCGGCGATGGCGATACCGCCGGCTTGTCCGGGATAACCAACCCACAAAATTCCGGCGATCTTCTCATCGTTCTTAGCGAATGTTATGTCGAAACCGCCACCGGACATAATGACGAGGAAAACCGGTCCTTTTGCAGCTTTAGCAACTTGAGTCACAAGGTCTTGTTGCCTTCCGGGGAGATTCAGGTCGACTCTGTCGCGGCTCTCTGCCTCGATAGACTGGTCTGCACCGATCACGAGCACTGTCGCATCCGCGGTCGCAGCTAGCTTTGTTGCGGAGGCTACATCCGCCACTGCGCAAGCTACATTGGAGCAGCCTGGTAGATATGTTGTTGATACAGTCCCGGCTAGTCCTTGAAGCGGTGTTGTGTATCTGCAGGGCGTGCCTTCGTAGTTTCCGATCATTGTTTTGGTGACATTCGCGTTCGGCCCAATCACGGCTAGCGTTTTGATCGATGTAGGAGATAGCGGTAAGCATCCATTGTTTTTTAGCAGGACAATGCCTTGTCTTGCTGCTTCTGCGGCTAACTCTTGATTCGCAGGCGTGCAAACGTCTTTAGGACCCAACCCGCCGTACATCTGTTTCTTTGGATCTCCATCGAAGAATCCTAAACGCATAAGGGTCAAAAAGTTGTTCGAAATCGCTTTGTCGATAGCTGCTTCGTTAACCAACCCCGCCTTAACCGCGGCCTCTGTATGCTGACCCAAGAACGAACCACAGTTCAAGTCCAAACCTGCATTGATAGATATAGCTGCTGCTTCCTCTGGAGTCTTGGTATAGTGTTGGTTCTTGTACAACACATCTACCGAATCACAATCGGAAACAATGTACCTAATAATCGGAAAACAAACCGAAATCTCAAAATCAGAACTGGAACCTTTTCAAATTCGATGCGAGAAGGGTTTAAATCCCCTGATGGGATCTGATAATTACCCGTTTAACTTCCATTCGCCGCGGATAACACCAGAGAGGAGATCCGGATCAGCGCATGTCGGTTTACCATTAACTTGATTGTATGAACACATAACACTCGCCACATTCCCATCAATCACACAGCTCTTGAACGGTGGTTGGTACGTATCATCCAGATCTTGTTGATTCACCTACTCCAACAAACAAACAAACAAAAACAGTTAGTAAAATAAAATTATTGAAAAAAATGTATTTGGTCCAACCAATATCAAATCTAAGGGTGGGATTTTAACAGAATTGCACCAGACCCAAATTATCCGACCCAAAGCCCAACCAATGTTTTCATCCTAATTTAGTCAAAAATATCAAAATATTCACAACTCAACAAACTGAGCTAAAGTTGTACCCAACCCGAATTTAGTCACTGAACCGAAATTAATCGAATAAACCACACCAAAAACTGAACCAAATCACCTGAATAGGTACATAACCAAACACATCCTTTGTTTTTGGTCAACAACCAAACACATCCTAAATGTGACACCCAAAAAAAACACTTTTTATGACTAGACTTTTACCACGGCGTTGAAACTGTAACGTTCTACGCCTTTCCAGTTATCGACATCGTACGCGGTGTAATGTTTGCAGCAAGCTGCGACTTTGAGGCGGTTAGCATCGCCACCGTCAGTCTCTTGAAGACCCTTAACGTAGCCTGAAGCATACTTGCTAGAGAGCAATGGATCTTCACCGGGAGTTTCTTGTCCTCTTCCCCATCTCGGATCTCGGAATATGTTCACGTTCGGTGACCAATACGTTAGTCCGGCTAATCCAACATTGTACATTGCCCTCGCTTCCGTCGAAACAACCTTAACAAGCAAGTAACGACAACAATGTCATCCAAATAGAGCCATGCCTGTCCAATCCGGTCTAACTAAACCGGGAACTATAATCATGGGCACAGAAAACAATTACATGTGGAGATTTATTTCAGTGGTGGTTGAATGTATGAAAACGACGTCGTATAACGTGTTGAAAAGTGTTTACTTGTACCAAACGAAAGAGATAACTGAGATATTCTTTCATATTATCCAAAAAGAGAAACAAAAGCAAAGGTCGAAAATGTATAAAATTTATTTATTTACCTTGCCAATGGCTTGAAAGAGAGATACGTTGAAAGAAGCGGCGGTGAGTATAACCTGAGGGAAACTCGTAGCTCCGGGAACTTGGCCGGAAAAATGTGTGCCGGGTCCGATGTAAGAAACGCCGTGAAGTGCTTCCGACCACCATTCATACGTCGGAATCCCAAGACGATTCACACCATTAGCTTTACTCACTAAAAAACCAATCTTTTCTTGCAAAGTGAGTCTCGCGACAAGATCAGCGACTCGGTATTCGATCTTCAAAACGGAGTTGCAGAAACCGTAAGCGGCGAGAGATGGGTTTCCGGTGACGTCGCAGGCGAAAACCGGAGAGGATTGAGCGTTAGATGA